AGGAATGATCGACTCATGGTCCTGACAAAGTGTTGTTATTTTTCGGGTCGATCAGAAATCCAATATGGCCGCCACGGCCGCCATTTTGAAAAACTATTTCAAACTTAAAAGTCAAGTTCTGCTTGGCCGATTGAACTGAAACTTTGTAGAAATGATCGAATCATGGTCCTGACAAAATGTTGTTATTTTTCGGGTCAATCAGAAATACAATTTGGCTGCCATGGCCGCTATTTTGTAAATACCTATTTCAAACTTAAAAATAAGTTCTGATAGGCCGATCTCACTGAAAATCGGTCTAGGAATGATCAGCTCCTGACAAAGTTAACATTATACTTAACTATTTTTTACTCAAATTGGTACATAATTCAACCACAAAAATAAATACTGTAGGACTCAGGTGACCGTTAAGGCCCATGGGCCTCTTGTTTTCTGTTACGCTGCTGCAAGATTCTTTTGATGTACATCAAAGGATCAAACGAATATTCTTGTCTCATCCCCAAGGTGGTGCACATAGAACTAAGCCTTTGACATATTCCAGGGATGCAGAGGCAAAGAGAGTGTAACCCCTGGAGTATTTACGAATGAGAGTTACGCGTTTAAAAAATATTCTTGGTAAAATAATAGGTTTGCACTCCACTTCAGTATTGTGAATGCATGCATATATCCTGATGTGCCATTCATTCAAATGTAAATTACAAATTCCAAATTGCCCTCATCAACAATATTTTGAACTTCTTAGTACAGAATTATTTTAGAAAGGGGATGTATTTTGCAGTAAGGTAGTATGTTTACATAGATTGTGTAATTTATCAATTCTATCATGTTTTATTTCCTTGTTCCAATATTTCTAAGTAAAACAGATTGTTTACCAAATTTCCTGTTTCCTGTTGCAGCCTAAATGTGGCCTTCCGATAACAACCTACTTCAGTGCTGTCAAGTTAAGATGGCTGATCGACAACAGTGAGGAGGTCAGACAGGCGATCAGGGACGGCCGCTGTTTGTTCGGCACTGTTGACTCCTGGCTGTTATGGGTATTTAATGCTTAACACTATACTCCGCTGTTCAGAAATGTGTAGCTCTTTGTCTTGGCGTGGTAAGAGCTAGTGTACCTGGTTATGTCGGTTGGTTGTATAGGGTTAAACGTCCCAACAACAGCTAAGGTCATTTAAGGACCTGCCTCCATGTGTGTTGTGTATGGGTGCATGAAGCAGGGTATTTTAGTGTAATTACCTCATTGTGGTAGTGCAGATCTGATGTCGACTTTATAGTGCTATCTCACTGAAATATCATGCCGAAGGAACCCGACACAGTATCCCCGCTAGTCACAGTATAATGATAATGAGTGAACCAGTTGTTTCCATTACCCCAAGTGCTGAATAACAACTACCCCTTTTGCGGACTTTGGTATGTTCCGACCTGGGGACAAAGCCCATTGCCTTCCTCACTTTGGCAAACGTTCAACATTGAAGTCAAAAGTAAGGCATTGACTTGATCATGTACCCATAATATAATCATAATTCTGTGAAAATCATAAATTGAAAAAAATCAACTGTTTAAGAAAAATATATTCAAATATTTTAAGATCATTTTTGAAAAACAAAAGCAGATCATTGGTTATTTAAAAAAAAATACCCCAATAAGTCTTAAAAATAAAAAATATAGTAATTATTCTACAATTAATTGTGATATTTGATTTGTTTATCAATTTTAATAAAAGACTCACAACCAGGAAAAATATTAACCAGTTCTTCGTTTTCCTTCTTGGGTCTGGACTTGGTCTGCCCAAGTACGGGAGTAGACTCCTGTGATAGGAGTGTAGAACGTCCCAGTTATATATGTTTCAGGGACTATATATAGACCAATTACACTGCAAGAAACTATGATGAGTAAAGTGTTAACCTCAGAAACTTTAAAGGAGGAGATCACTGTATAAGCACATCTCCAAGGAGAGACCGTTTGTTTGAGAAATAAACTGTATACTGTAACTGTTTACTGTAATTTTTTTAGTCCAGTCAAACATTTGCCATTTGCCAATGAAATCAATTTTGGCCTAGTGTAAATTTTGCCCTTCACATTTAGCTACCATCTTGTATATTGTGTTGTTTACTTATACTTATTGTAATGAATAATTTGCACCCATCACGAAGGGCAAAAAGAGCAAAAAATTAAACTGAAGCTAAATTTTCCCAGTATACAGTATTTTCAGCACATTATCTTGATCCTAAGGATATGTCCAGGCCTAAATATTATTTTCAAGACTTGGGGTTTTCATTTTGGACATATTTTGGAAAATAAGGAAGTTCATTTACTTGCAATCAATTCTCCTATTTATAGTTTACTAATATATGAATAGAAACTATTAATTTTACTAATATATGAATAGACTTTACTGAAGACTGAAAGACTAAGACTAAAAACTGGAGTACCCGGTTGAAAAACCCATGTGGTCAGGTAGGTGACCCCAGTCCTATTCATGTCCAGTCGGGGAATCGAACCCTGGCTGCCGTGGTGAAAGCCGAGTGTTTTATCCATGGTGACACTCTACCACCCTAATTATCTTTACCCTGGTAGGTGATGATTTAGAAAGCTGAGTTACATTTTAAAAGTTTTAATCTTCAGAACCTAACTGGAGGGAAAGATGGAGGCAAACACTTGACAGACGTCACCAATGCCAGTCGTACTATGCTGATGAACATCCGCTCCCTGAAATGGGATCAAGATCTATTGAGGTATATACAGATACTTATTACAGTTGGAAGTAAAAGTTCTGTATATCGGGAAAGTTTCGCTAAGTAAAACTTTTGCCCTATGCTTGTAAACTCTTAATCTCCAGTGTTAATTTTGCCCTACACACATTGATTGCTATGCTTATTATGTTGTGTGCTATTAATGTTGGCTCTTATGATGAAATTGCCCTCATTTCCGAGGTCGAAAAAAGGCGAAAGATAAAATGCGATGAAAATTTCCCCATATACTAGTAGTTCTACAGTGTGAAAGAAAAGTTGGAGGAAATCTCAAACAAAACTGTCTATTTTAGACAAAGAAAATTAACACTACAGGAAATTTGTTCATCGTTAAATTTCTTTTATAATTATTGTTGTATAAAAAAATGGATTTAAAGAAATATTAAGCAAAAAGGTTTATACATGAAATTGAAGTTTGAAAAGTTTAAGCAATCATAGAGAACTACTTGAGGAATCCAATACAATTTTTAAAGTCATTGAGAAATATTGGAATTCAGGTATTCTCAGAAAGTTCAAGTGCTTACAAACAATTTGATAGGACATACCTTAATAAAGATGTCCTAAAGATTTCCTTAGATACATTTTGTGAACACATGCACCAAGCAAAACAATCTTTTCTGATAAATACTGAATTATCCCAGGTTTTTTGACATCCCAATGGAAATTCTGCCAGAGATCCGCAGTTCCTCTGAAGTTTACGGACAACTAGTTTCTGGCCCGTTAAAAGGGCTCAACATCTCAGGGGTAAGTGTCTCGGAAGGAAATTACAATTGAGAAAATTTTGTTTTGTGAAATAATTGATAATTCTACTTTGAAATGTTATATAATTATGTTCTCACTAAGTTTTGAAATAGGGGGGTTAGTCGAAAAGGATAGCTGGTTGTCTGATTAAACATTGCAATGTTGACCTATTGTAGTCTGAAAAAATAGTGTTCATAGTATAAAATGGTCAATAATACGAAATATCTGAAACTTTTAAGTCAGGAAGAAGGAAACAACACATGACTTGAACAACGAAATCAAAGAGAAAAAGATAAATGAAGAACTTGATTGCATAGAGCAATAATTTTATATGAACACTGTTAACAGGTATACAGTTGATATGGCCACTGCCCAGTATAATTTGATCTATGAACTTCATGCATTTCTGTTCTACGTTCATACATGAACTGTTCAATGCCATTTTAAAGTGTTCATTAGTTTATTACAGCTAAAGGACACATTCAAAAAGAAACTTCCAACTAATTATATAAGGCTTTTTTGCTACAATATACCTGTGATAGATATTAGAATGGTCTCCCTTTAAAAAAAAGAAACCTATGATAGCCAGAGTGTTAACTCATTCACCCCTGATATTTCATAATAAACTATTCCAACCTTTGAATTGGAGGAGTGCAAATGTGTCTTCAGGGGTGAATGAGTTAATCAGAGTCACTATTAAGCAGGCTTCCTTCAATAATTGAAAAGCATTTGGCCATCTTCTTAAATGAATTTTCTTTTCTTCTTGTAGTCCCTTAGTTGTGTAGGGAAAAAAAGCCCCATTAGTTTCAGTTGTTGCAGTGTTTGTGTCAACATTTTACATTCACATACTTACCAACTTTCTCTATTTTGGAGGGAGACTCCCGATTTTAGACCCAAAAAGTCAGCCTTTTCAATTAGTGAATTACTGAAGTATACCTTTTTTCCTTGATCTGCTGATTTCCTCTGAAAGAACAGCTCAAACAATGACATTTAAAAGTGTTATATTTTTCCTAGGATGTAAATACACACATTTTATTGATGCTTTTAATTCTAAGCATGCACAATCTCCCCAATTAGATTTCTTAAAAGTTGGCAAGTGTGCATTCACCTTGTGTTTTTGTGGTAAAAGTCAATGTTTTACTTGTGCAACAGAAATCTCTGGCACGAACAAACCATGAAGTCTCCTTAATGGAGTCTTTCAGTGTTTTGAGGGTACATTTTTGGCTGAAAACTCCAAGGAAAAATAATGCTTTTTCCCCAAAATTCTGTTCACTTTCCCAATCTTGGAACAGGGGCCTTTTTCAATTCAACCAAGAAAATTAAACTACCTCATGATTTTACTTATGGACTCTTTTGTCGGGTATCAATTTAAATGTTTTGTCATTAACAGGCAGTCTTGGTAGGCTTAATTCAAATGTTCATGATAGTTAATTTAATATCAATTTAAAACATTTTGTCATTAATTTACACTAGATACTTGGAGACCAACAGGCAGCCTTGGTTGGTCAGATGTGTTTCAAACCGGGACAGGCAAAAAACACGTAAGTAAGGCATCTGGGTGTGTGTAAGCAATTTATACTATATGCTTAGAAATACCTCTCGTAATATTTGTATGATTCCGCATTCCTTTAATTTGTGATAGAAAGTTGTATGTTTAAGAAAATAAAAACTATTTACAGATATTGCCCAAAACTATGTTTTGTTACAGGAACAAGCATATGGGTATAATAGGATCTATCACTCTTGTCTGATGTAGACTGACTCACTGAGGGTAACGTTCTTAACATTTATATTATTAGCAGGAGACTTTGTTGAGTGAGGAGCTTCAAAAATCTGATCACACTGGTTTCAATTTCTCGGTCTTGTGTGTGTCACAGTCATGTGTGTGTCACGGTCATGTGTGTGTATCACACAGATGTGATTGATTATTTTTCTCTCACACTTTCCTACCGTAAAGATCTGATGTAATCGCCCTCATCTAGAGTACATGACATGCGACAAAATTAACGGTGTTACCTTGGTAACACTACACAAAGTGATGACACAATGATAATGATATTTTGTGAGCACTCATTTCCTAGGTAGATAAAGAATAATAGAATCTTACATGGGTCTGTTCCTTGGACAGGGATATCTCAACCAAGAGTGTAAGATTTTGGCAGGTCAGCGAGGCTTGCCGAGTGATGGCCAGCCAAATTCTTACACGAGGGTTGAGATATCCCTGTCTATGGAACAGATCCATGTTTGATTATTTTTCTCACATACATTCAAATAAACAAATTCCAGTTGAAATAAACATCGATATTATTCTTCCGGCAAACCCCAAAGCCCTAGGGTTGAGACGGACGATTCCCCATTCACAACAATTGTATGATGAGACGGAAACAATAAAATCACGTCACGTCTACAATCCATTATTTATAATATTATGACATCATAGCGTGTGTCAGCTGTCTTTCCCTACCCCATGTAAGATAAAGTTATCTTTTCCCTAGCAAAACGCGACCACCCTGTGAAGTATGTGAGAATAATAACCTGTCCAGGGCAAGAGAGAAAGAATCTCACCCCTTGGGTGTGAAATAGCTAGGGAAATCTCAACCCGAGGGGGAAGATTCTGAAGTTGCCAAACACGAGGCTGTCTGTTCCCATTGTTTAGTATATAAGTATTGTAATGTTAATGTTACAGGATAAATTCAGGGTTGAAGTGAGGTTGATCGATTGTTGACGTGACGTCATTGTATTGTTGACGTGATATAATTGTATTGCTGACGTAACGTCATACCATTGTTATGAATCCCCCCGTCTCAACCCTAGGATGAGACAAGGATATTTCACACGGGTAAAACGGTGGATACACCTGTCCAGGGTAAGAGAAAAGGATATCTCACACCGATAAAAGTGGATACACCTGTCCAGGGTAAGGGAAAAATCTGTCTGATGGGGTAGAAAGGTTCGTCTTTTCCCTTGCAAAAATTGGAATGCAGGTGTCAAGTGTTGGAGAAAGGCTTTGAATACTCATCTGCACTCTGCTCTGCTACTGATACATTTGTGTAGATGACCTACTATGCTGTATCTGTTCTGTTACAGGTACGGTACAGGCTGTTTCCTATTGATAAACACTGGTACTGAGGTAAGACATTTTTTCTGACCCCAAATATTTACAATTATCAGCCGAGTGACATCAGTGATTTTTTTTATCTCAAATGCAATCATAATTGTGGAAATTAAAAGGAAGAATATATATTTTCCAAACACTTCAAAACCTGGGATATGGATACTTTCTTTTTCTGTGATGATTATTACTGATTTTTTTTAATATATGTGATTATCTCCCTTTACTTGTAATATAATATGTTATTGTTATTTTTTTACATATATTTGTCGCAATAATAGTTCTCCAAAGCAAATGTTCCTTGTTTACCTGTATGTGACTTTAAATAAAGTTTCTTGTATATATTAATTGAAATTAAAAGATAAAAAATACAAAATGTACAATAGTACGTTCTTGGACTCAGATTTGTCATATTTGAAAAACTTTTGACTTTACCTGTTCTTATAGGTTCAATATTAGAACACCAGGAACTAAACCATCATGTTTGTAAAATTAATAAAGTTTCTTAATCAGACATAATGAAATCTAAGAAGCAGTTTATTATGTATACATACATGTGTGTAGACATTTTAATTTAACACATGAAAAAAAAAAATGAAAATATAGAGGTGAGTCATCAACCTTCCGACTGGTTCCTTTTCGTGTTTACGTTAACTTTGATTGTGTTATGTTGATTCTATTGTTATTATGATTTGCACATTTTTTCCTTAAAGATGGTGTTGAAATGAAAATTTAATTTAATCTCAAATATATTTTCATCCTTCATGTATGCACAAGTTTGTTGTAAAATAAAGTTAAAACAAAGCATAAGGAAAAGCGTACAGTACCGACCAAGTGGTCATCCCTTGCTTTAGTGATATACAATATGTTTTACATATTCTTGCTGCAGGTATGCGAGTCCAACCATGGCCTGTTAACAACTGTGGGGTATCAGCTCGGCAAAGACAAGCCGGTCGTTTACGCTCTCGAGGTATTTACTCTGATGAACTCCTGCTGTAATACTTACTGGAGAGACCAATGCCTTACACATGCCTTACACATGACTTACACATGGGCATTTCCATTCATCTAGTGATTCAGGGAACACATTGGCCTTTTACTATACTAAATTGTCCCAATAATGCAGCTGTTTTACAATCCAGTCTGCTTTGATGAAATGAAATTGGCAGAATCACTAAGGCTCCCCTGTGGACATTTCTAAAATTTGAACTTCATTCCTCATCAAAAATATTTTAATTCCAAAAACTGTCTACTCCTCACAGTGAGATACGGATCACAGTTTGATGTTAAAGATTTGATATTTATCATGATACAAGTATATTGTCAAAAGTCAACTTCAAAATGATTGAGTGCAGGAGTTAAACCCTTTCACCACTGTAGACCTTAATGGATTCCTCCAGATCAATTCACGGTAGAGTCTACTAAAGTTACATAGGGGTGAAAGGGTTAAGAGAATTTTGTTATAGACTTAATTATAAATTTACATATAGTAAAAATACTGTCAAAACATATTTTTGTATGATTTTGAGTACATGTACCTTCATTAAAGGATTCCAAAATAGTAAGTAAACGCTTTGAGTTTAATAATAAAGAAAAATATTGAAAATTTCAGTCCCCTTAGTGTATTGCAATGCAGGCAAACAAAACAATTTGTAACAATACATAAGAAAGTTTCACAATACAATACGGTACCATTTATCGTTGCAACCCCACTTAAAGGTGTTTGTTTTGTAATTGTTTTATTTAACTGTCTGTTTATAGGGTGCTGTTGCTATTGGCGGTGCTTGTGTACGCTGGCTCAGGGACAACCTGGGAATTATAAAGACCTCAGAGGAGATAGGTATGATCAATGAGTACAAGACATGTAATGAGGACATCTACAGTAAAATCAGCAGTGCTGGTGATTATATAAGGGAAACAACTCTGGTACAGATTCATGTAAAGTTAGGCTGCAACATTTATCATGATCCAAACAGTTGAACTGATTGGACCGGAGAGGTTTGTTTATGACAAAAGGTCGGATCTAGTAATCAGATGCTGCTTTCATGCGAGCCTTGACAAAGCCTTGCAAGGCCTGCATAAACATTTGCAGGTCTGCCATGATTTACACCCGAAAATGTAACATTTAAAAGCAGACAAACCGGTTGTTCGGCATAAACAAACAGGCCCCCTGGTAATTATATAAGGGAAGCAACTCTGGTACAGATTAATGGAAGTTACGATAACACAACAATATGCCTGCATAGACAACATCCAATTTATTACAAGTCATTAGATAATGCTATTGGAAAGTTTTGTGTAAATCAGATATACTAGCTATAACAGACAAGACTTGAAGTCTTGGTTTTTTGTTTACAGAGACGCTGGCTGCCAGTGTTGACAGTGTGGGAGGGTGCTACTTTGTACCAGCGTTTTCTGGTCTATTCTGTCCTCACTGGCAGTCCGATGCTAGAGGGTGAGTAACAAGCATAATCATGTTCTATAATATAAATAGTTTGAATTCATGATTTAATACTTCAAAGAATTGTTAAATTTTGGTACCAAGTTCTTTGTTCTATAGCTTATAAGTGTGTAATTTCGTTTTACCAATTTGTCAAAAAGACCCAAAGTATAAATAATTTTCAGGAAAAATCTCTTTTAACCTATTACATTATGTTTCTAAATAGAACTTTGGCTTCAGTTTTGCTTGTTTATCCCATTAATATAAAATGTTCAAATCTCATGACAAAAAGATATTGTTGTGTCTTATAGTACCGCTCAACGGGGTGTGCCCGAAAGGTCAAGGTCACAGCAAAGTTCAAAGTTCAAATAAGACGTTAATCATTCTAATGCTTATCTGGTCAGCAATTTAGTAACGGCTGATGAATATTTTACTGTTTATTGAGAAATATTCGCTGCAGTTTAACTTTCGACTGTTTTTCTCTCCCAAATGAAGGCAAATTTATCATGAGAGCTAAATATTTGTACACAACATGCAATTGATAGAAATTACCTGTGAATGTAGAAATTAATACTAGGCAAACTGAACAGGGATTTTGTCAGCAAAGAGCAAATATTTGACTGGACGAAAGTTTCCCAGTAAACATTGTTATGAAACTTAACAAAGAGCGGTCTTATGGCCATAACAATAGCGTGTGATGATAGAAGACATGTATTGGTTTGGAACACATCAGTTTGCTTGATATATCCAAATTTCATTTTGTGACATTTTATTCATCTCAAGCATGAAAAATATTCATAAGCTTACGAATGAACAAACCTGACATCCATTTTAAATGAGTACTTTGTTCTCTGTAGGGTCATATGTGGACTGACACAGTTCACCACCAAGTGTCACATCGCAAGGGCGGCTCTGGAGGCGGTTTGTTTTCAGACAAGGGAGGTAAGTGAGATAGTTCTATCCAGCATTAAGTCCATGCCTGTTAAATTGCTTATTCTTTTCTACTGCACTTCAGTAGAAATGCAAACAAATTTAATTCATTGTCTTGATTAAAGCCCATCCCTATAAGTGAGAGACTTAAGTGTTTATTTACCCTCTGGGGTAATTGCAGGATATATATGAGGAAGTCACTTTTTTATCTATTTGTTACAATTTTAATTTAACTTATGTTAATGAAAAAAGCAAAGTTTTAGCATTGATTTTTAGATTAAGCAAGTTAACATTTAGACCTCTGGCAATTACTTTCCTAGTGACTTAAATAGTTAGTTTTCGACCCCTGAAAGCATTGTGAAATTTAGTTTCATTTGTAAATAATGTGAAAAACTAAAGCGAAAAAGAAATTAAGAAATATGTTATCAATTGTTTTTGGGATAGTTGCTATGTTTTTGTTTGATTTCAGATTCTGGAGATTATGAATGAGGAGAGTGGTATCCCCCTGATGTCACTTCAGGTGGACGGAGGGATGACTACCAACACTCTACTCATGCAGATGCAGTCTGATCTCCTGGGGATCAGTGTCGGTAAGTTGTACTGTCAGCCTCCAGAGTACTGGGTTCGTGAGTCAACCATTGTTTGCTCACCTGGCACAAAGTTAAGGTCACAAGGGTCAAATGTATTAAAACCTTTGACCAATGTTTTCTGAAAAACTAAGACAAGAACAAGTAATCTTCCTAATAAGGAAGAGTGTCAGGGACAAGTTGTTATTTCCTTAAACTACTAAGTAGTGTAGGGGGTGGGGGCTTCCCCTGATCATTAGTAATTTATGTACTAACTCATGTTCTCCAATCACAGAAACTTGCTTGTTTTTACCATAATTTTAATATTACAACAATAAATTCTGAATTCCTAATATCTCCCTATGTGTGTATGCCTGCGTGTGTGCTGGAGATCGATGTGTTCTGTTTGTAGTGGGTTACACTAACGTTCCCTGCACCCCCGGACTATGTCATATCAAAATTGAAGATCAGTGTGCACCACCTTGTGGATGAGACGAGAAGACCAGTTTATTCTTTCAATTTTGCTAATTTGACATATGCTAAGAGTGAAAGTGAGCATAACCCTTGAGTGTTGAGGATGAGGTGATGATAGGTTGCCAAAAGCATGCTGGGAAAGAGTCGTACAAAGTTCATCAAAGAAATGACCTTGACCTACTTGACCAAATTTAGTATGAAATATCCTTTGACCAAGAGGGGACTCAGCTATAAGGGGTGGGGTAGGGTGGGGGTGGGGNACAAGTCACAATAGAGAGAACAAGAGACTCCTCCTTCAGTACAAATTAAGTGAGTTCAATCATTTAGTTTAGAACTTAAATATCCAGGTAAGCAATACAGGCTCTCTGAGCTTCTTGTTATTCTGTGCCAATCTCTTGAGAGTCTGTGAGTGCTGTGCATATGCAAGTCAGTCATTGTTGCTGGACTGTCAATCTCCTTAGCATCAGTGTCAGTAAATCATTGTTGCTGAACTGTCAATCTCCTTGGCATCAGGTTTTGTAAATCATTGTTACTGAACTGTCAATCTCCTTAGCATCAGTGTCAGTAAATCATTGTTACTGAACTGTCAATCTCCTTAGCATCAGTGTCAGTAAATCATTGTTACTGAACTGTAAACCTCCCGCGCATTTGATCGTTCCTAAATCGATCATTTCAACCTCCGGGGCATCAATGTTTTGTTGGCGTTCTAACCCCAGCAACAAACTTGTGGGCAGTGGGTGAGTTGGAAAGGGGAATGTCCATCTATCTAATTAAGGGAGATAACTCTTAATTACAGGTATGATTGCTGGGAACTTTGTATTCCGAACTTAAGTTAAGGTGGTGTCTGACCATTAGCAGCCTGTCATGACATGTGTCATTACATTTACATAGCTTGGACGTTTTGTTTCTCCAGTACGACCTTCCATGACAGAGCCTGTCATGACATGTGTCATTACATTTACATAGCTTGGATGTTTTGTTTCTCCAGTACGACCTTCCATGACAGAGACAACAGCTCTTGGTGCAGCCATGGCAGCAGGGAATGCCGAGGGCATTTGGGATATTGAAGACAGTGCCAAGACAACCATCACCACGGATACCTTCAACCCTGCTGTCCAAGCTAAAGGTCAGCAATCTGTTTGATTTTCACTTTTAATGCCCCAAGTATTTTCAAGAGGGGGAGATTATAGTGTTATCCATGATTGCCCTGTCCTGTGGCAGTTAATTGTCATGACTCTATCAACTTCATTTGTGAACAGATTTACATAAAATGTTTACACTTAAGTGAAGTAAGAGAGTAACTTAGATGAGTTGATATTTCAGTGTCCAAAGGTAAACACCAAGGTCACTGTTGCTACAGGACCAAGGGGACGTTTATGTCTGGCAGACTCTTTTTTCTGCAGAACAACATTCATTGGGTATACTTTCATTTAAGCAGATTCAATTATAACAATTCTAGATGTATTTCATTTTGCTTCAATGGAAATAATAAGTCAAATGATATACCAAAGTTACTTTCCCTTATACAGGTTTATCTGTTTCAGTGTTGAAAAATTGTATGGTTTTAGTACTGTGAAGTTCTGTTATACTGCCACTAATGGCTAGCAAATTTTTGGCATTATTAAAGGGGTTTAGTGATATAACTAGGAAGCATAATTTTAAAGGCATTATTAACTCATTCACCCTTGAAGACACATTTGAACTCTTCCAATTCAAAGGCTGGAATAGTTCATTATGAAATTTCAGGGGTGATTGAGTAAAGCATGAAGTGTGAGGAACTACACTGTGGTTTTACTGTGTAACTAAAAATGTAAGCTGTTTTGAGGAATTTATTACTTAGCTTAGTTCTGTTTGCCATGGTAGCTTAATTGTGTAGCTGTAGCAGTGGCCAACAGTTAAGGCGTCTGACCGTCATATATAATTAGCCCTCCACAAATGGGTCAAGGGTTGAAGGCTGATGTGCCAGGTACTGGCCGCAGGTTGGTGATATTTCTCTGGATGCTCCAGTTTTCCTCCACTACAAAAAAAACACTAGCATATCCTTGTATAACCATAGCTGTGAATATGATGTTTACCCTTTCACCCCTATGTAACTTTAGTTAACTCTTCCATGCATTTATCTGGATGAGTCCATTTTGGTCTCCAGTGGTGAAAGGGTTAAACACAAACCGACTAAAGTGTGTAGGATTCTCGAATCAGTGTTATGTGAAATATTCAAGGTAATTTAAATGTTTGATATAGTGTGAAGAATGGCATTCTATAAATTACAATATAATTTGATACAGAACGAGACCAGCGCTTTGGGAGATGGAAGCTGGCAGTTGAGAGGTCAATGCATTGGGAGGTTCCTACACCTGTTCAGGGTAAGTTTTATCACTAAGACAAAACTTTTGAAATTTGAAATCTGGAGTTAAAGTATTTTGTCTTCATTAATGATTTCCATACTCAAATGATACTTGTAACCAAATCAGCTGCCAGAAAGTCGATAAAAATATTACACAATTTGATTGTTACAATAGTTAAATTTAATAAAATTTACCAAATAAAAACTCTTTCCTTAAATTGCATGCCTTTTTCTTTTTGACGCTTTTTACTAATATTAAAGTGTCTTGTTTTGGGTTCTCTGAAATTATAGAAAAGTTGTACATAAATATTGTAAGTCTGTTTCTGTGTAGACTATACATATGTCATAGTGGTATACAGTATTATTTAAGTGGTTATCTACCTTTTTTCTCCATATGGAAGAATAGGCCCCAAGCCGAACATTTACAGCAGTCTCGCGGGCGGGATTTATTTGTGGACCAGCTGTGCCTTATTACTAGCAGCAGAACTCTTACACAAGAGGTAACATTTAGCCAGGTTGTAGGTACCCTATATTCCAATTTTTATAGTTATATTTTATGTTTTTAATGGTTAATGTTTTTGTCACTGTATGAGGTTTATTTTTATGATGATGTTGAGATCTTCAAACCTTTTATGTCATATAGAAAGTACAACGAACTAGACATATCAGTCCTAAGGTTGCTCACTCTAGTCCTAATTTATTCTGCCCTGAAATTTCATAATGATCTATTCCAAAATTTGAATTGGAAGAGTTCAAATGTGTTTTCAGGGGTGAATGTGTTAACTTGTGATTGGTAGAATGTTTAATGCACAAAATGAAATACTGTAGAATAATTTATTTTCGTGGGGTTAAAGTTTGTGGTTTTCATATACTAGCCTGTTTCAAGGACATTAAATTTCGCTGATTTCTGATTTTCCCCTATCTATATCATACCAAATTTATGTTTTCGTGGGGATTTAATTTTGTGGATTTTTGTTATCCACGAAATAAACCAAATTTAATGTCTCACGAAAATTTTGATTTTACAGTAGTGCTTTACATTATTACAACTGTACGTTGGCATTGTTTCCATGTTTTAAAATACGTTTTTATGTAGAGAATATAATGATTGTATCTTAAATATGTGTAATATTTGTTAACTCTGCAGTTTCATATTCAATTTGTTTCTTAAAATGAAAAATATATATCATTTGGTTAATAAAGGCTTTAAAATATGTCAAATGTTGATATGAGATTCAGGTAGTGATACAAACTAAAATTTGAAAGGCCTCAAAATGGAGCTAGGAATAGTGGACTCAAATGATAATATAAAGCAATTCATTATGACTTTGTGTTAAAGACATACTCATTAATATTTGGTCTGGTGTGAGGCCATCATGTTAGATTTTGTGATGTTAAGGGTCTTTGTTCCATGATCATTGCAAACCTTAGTTAAAAGAAGTGTGATTCCCTCTGTGATGTTATTTGATTGTTTAGAATACGTACATTCCGTCTTTGCGTATTGCAGAGTTATCTTCTCTTGTGAGCAGGTATTGATTGTTACGTCATTGGTTTGTGTGAGAAAATTACGCCGTTTTCTCAAAAATTGATGATGTTACTCTCGCTTAAGGAATGATTTTTATTTTTTCAACATTTATGAGGTCATAACAACAATGGGTTTATGGACATATTGAATGAATCGCGTTAGCGATTCATGTAAAATATGTCCAAAAACCCATTGTTGTTATGACCTCATAAATGTTGAAAAAATAAATATCATTCCTTAAATTTACATTGACGAATCCTTTCAGTGGATCGATATAACAACGAATAAAACAAATAAACAGGGTTTGTTCCTGCTTATACACGGGTGCAACGCAGTGGCGAGAACAGTGTTTTTTCGCGGGGAAATGTGACACTATCGTGAGAGATCTTAGCAACCGTCAACAACAATAACACAACAAAATGTAGTTCCATATTCAATGTTTATTTGTAGCACAGGACACGTGAATACGTGGATATTTCACAAAGCACAGTTCAATAATATTTTAAGATGTAAGAATTAAGCATCTAGGTCGGTCGTTCCGAGTGAGTAGTTTTTGTAGTGTATTACTACGCAGTGTGATCAGGTTACTATCAGTTCCCACGTGCTGAGATTCTATGAACACCTGTGTTATGCATTTATGAATGTAATTTTTGTCAATGGGTCTAAGCATACAGAATGAAAATATAAACCAATGACGTAACAATCAATACCTGCTCACAAGAGAAGATAACTCTGCAATACGCAAAGACGGAATACTGACATACATGTATGTGTACATCTAATGTATAAGTGAATGATTAGGTAGTAAGCTTTATGAAATCGTAATTTTTTATCATTATTTTTTTTATATTTTTTTTATTAGAGTAGAAATATTCATTTTAAATGAAATTCTTTTTAAGTTCCTATTTTCAGATTATGAACAAAAAGTGATGCAAGAATGAAATTCTTCTCTGACATTTTTCTCATTACTGAATTATGATAGAATATATCTGGTATGTGTGTCATGTTCAAAGCAAATATGTACCTGCTTAATGAGATTTTGTTTACTTTATTTTACAAAAAAATAATTACAAATTGATGATAATCTCTTGAAAAATATGGACTTTTTTCTTCATACTGTTGAAGAGCAGATAAAAGCTGAAATACTTAACTATAAATAGGTAGTATAAATAGGTAGTATAGAGAACAATTGTTGTGTGTTTCTTACAGTCTGTTGAATCTCAGGTCAAATGCTATTGTTGGTGATTGCTAATCTGAATATCATGTCAGAATAATGTATGCATTATATTTGATCACATGTAATACTAACCATGAATCTTGGCTATGCCCTAATCTGGTTTGAAATATTTGCAGTTGATTGCAGAAATTTATTGTATAAATCGACATAGTTATAAATAGTATTACAACTATACAGTGAAGCTTATGAAATAAAACTCAGTTTCAAATTTTCTTTTAAGATTCGACTTCAGTTTGGATAAAATATTAAGGAAATCTCTGTAGCAAAGGTGAGATTAGATGTTTCTGAATGTGATATTATGCATAGTTTACACATTCATGGATGACCAGAAATTGACACATATTTTTTGAATAGATGAATTTAGCATTTCATGTGATTCAGTGTTGTGTGATGATCCAAACCTCAAGCTGTTTGCTTCAATGATGCCCTCCGTTTATAATACTAGTATGTGATACCGTAAAAATGTTATAAGCTTGAAGACTGCTCTCCATGAATACTATGTAACACTCTGATAGTGTTAGGCTACAAGCTTCAATAATGCCTTCCTTCAATGCTTCAAGAATGCCCTCCTTCAATGCTTCAAGAATGCCCTCCTTCAATGAATACTAATGATGTGATATCATACTCTCAATGTTTTTTGGCTGAACGCTTAAAGAATACTCCAGCTTTTATGAATAATATATGATTTGTCCTTATAGTATGTGGCTATTTGATCAATGACCACTCCAGACTGTGATAAATAAATAAATAAATATACAACATTTGATATAGCGCCCTATCTAGCTAACATAAGCTACTCTAAAGCGCTTTACAGTAAATAGATATACAATTAATACAATTAGCATATACATTAATCAATACAATTTTGAGGAATTCGCAGGTGCTGCCTTATCAGGCACTAACTACTAGTCCTATGCCATCTGGCTAATATCTCCCTAAACATGTGTGTATGGCTGCGTGTGTGCTGGAGATGTAATGTGTTCTGTAAATTTCATACCCCAACATTTAAGCTTCAAGTTATTTTCTAAAAAAAACACCTTTTCATCAAAGCAGATCCTGTTAAGTTCTGTATCTATTAACTCACTCACCCCTGAAATTTAATAATGAACTGTTCCAACCTTTGAATTGGAAGATTTCAAATGTGTCTTCAGGGGTGAGTGAGTTAAGTAAATGTAACGACTACTCATTGATACTTATTAATTTCTGTGTGCTTACTTATTGATAACATTTAAATTAACTTTATTTGCTATTCATACTAATTCATGAAGTTTTGTGTTCTAATTCGCTGACATGTGCAAGTTGTATAGGTACTTTCAATTTACACAGTGCTATTAGCAAGAGATAAATTGTGATTTTGAAGGAAATTTACTGTCATACATCCCTCCATTGAAGAAATCTTATCGGTGCATGTTTACTTGATAAATATTTTCATAAATATTTTCATAAAAACAAAGAAATGTATAGAATTTTTACAAATTATTATCATACCGATATCCGTGTGCTGCTTTCAACTTTTAGATTTTTCATTCTCTAATTTTCATTTTTAAATTTTCAATAAGCATGCATAACGTACACCGTCTGTGTTAATCAGCTCTGTGAAATGTTTAATTTTACTGAGATTGACGTTTTTGAAAGAGATTATGTTTCTATTTTACCAGTTAACAGGTTAAAATATTGAATGTGATGACTGTAAATACTCGTACAATATATATGCAAATGAATAAAACACATATCAATATGTCCCCATTTGCAGCAAATATTTAAAAGAAATATAAAATATATAAACTTACTATTTTTCAACAATTATGAAAAAAGTTATTTTAACTTATATACATCACTCTTGTTGGTCCGGATGTTAGTGCGTCAGATTAGGGAATCAAACCCTGACTGCCTTGGTGAAAGGCGCTTGCGGTGTACACTGCGCCATCCGATTAATGTTAAATATAGATTTATGAATGATTTATTACAATTAAAGGTAAATATCGAATCGAGATCACATAGTTGGCTCATATAATTTGACAATATATAATCAAAGTTATCTGAACTTTGTTTTTCCAATATTTTTCTTTATGTTTACAATGCGCATTCCATATGCTTATTTACGTAATAGACGAACACATCCTGGAGTATCAATTGTTTTCACCAACGAGCACACTTAATTTGTTTTTCCAAACTTTTTTTATAATAACCAAGGAATACTGTATACCAGGAAGTTTCCCTGCAGGTTAATTTTCGCCCTTTTCGCCCTCTTCGCTCTTTTTTATCATTAACAGCGAATATTTGGACCCAAACTAATATCCGTAGTAATTATATGTGAAGGGTGAATTTAATATTTGCCGAAATATTCAGCGAAAATGTGTTTTACTGTCGTTGAGCGAAAATTTACCGGTATACAGTATACAAATTTGAACTGATGTTACTGAGTCGAAGGATTATGTTAAAAAATGTGAGATGTTTCACTTTGTGAAAATAGTGATGGATGAGCCACACGTTCCAATGAACTCCAAGATGATCGTTTTTTCTCTCTCATGAAAAGACAGAGTTACATAATGTGTATGAAATCTCATTTTTCACTTATTAAGTTTTGCACGAGTTTTGTATATAGCATTTTATAGTATGCTTTAAGCTATTTTACTCCATTCCTCTTGTGCATTTTGCTTTTAGTCATTTATAACAGAAAATAAAAAATAAACCAACATGAAGTTTACAACAGGGTTTCCTTGTTTTTAGGTCACCTGAGCTTTGCTCAAGTGACCTATTCCAATCGCTTTTTGTCCGTCGTCGTCCGTCGTCCGTCGT